CCCAGCCCCACTCCCTGCCCCTACCACTGTCCCCGGCCCCAGCCCTGGCCCCTGCCCCCTCTCCTTGCCCCGCTTGCCTGCAGTCACCTGGTCCCGGGGTCCTCCCCACAGCATACAGACAGCCGGGACACAGGTCAAAACTTTATTGAGCAGCCCATGTCCCCATGGCTGAGTGGGCACAGGCCTCTCACACTCCGAGGCACATGTTGATCCTGGCAGCAATTTCCTCCTCAGCGGCCAGGGTCAGGGATGTGTAGCACTGCAATAGGTAGTCCTCCTGGCGGTGGCAAAGGTTCAGTGGCGGGCCAGGCTTGCCCCCCATGCTGTCATAGCTCAGGATCTTGAACCAAGAGTGCAAGTGTGCCTGGGACACCAACAGGATCATCATCATCAGGGCGTAGTGGCTGAAGTACCCCTCCGCCTGCACAAACAGCTGATTGTGCACTGTCTATATCGTGTAGCAATGACATGCTCGGGCCACAGCAGCCGTGTGGCAGGAGGGTGGCCCTGTGGCGCCTTCCTGGAGAGGCCCCCAGCAGGGAGGGCAGGGGTGCAACCAGCCCTTTGCCCCAGTTGTCTGGGAGCTCTGTATGCCCCTTGCCCAGGTGCTGGGGGCTGGCTGGCGGGAGGTGGAGCCATGGCAGCAGGTGCTACCAGCAGCCTGGTCTGGCCTGTCCTGAGAAGGGAGCAGGAGAGGCAGGTGGACTGTGGTGAGCCCCTGGGGAACAAGTAGGGACAGGGGGCTCAGGTGGCACTCACCTGACCCAGGCCTGCCCAGCCAGCTTACTGTGGTGCTGGGGGTCCCTGGGTGCCCACACACTGCTGTCCTCCGATCTAAGGTCAGGCAGCGAGGACCCCTGGAACAAAGCATCTTACCTCTCAAATGTTGCGAACTCTCATAAAAGCTTTCTGTCTCTTTCTTCTGCAGAGCCAACATCTGGACATGGGGGAGAGGCTGCAAGGGCTTGCAGGACCACTGTCACAGGGCCACCACCACCTGCTGCTGGAGCTGCTTGGAGACACCAGCAGCACCACTGGCACTCCCAGGACTGGGCCCATCTGCTCAAGCAGGTGGTGGCAGCAGTGGAGGGCTGGGTGGTGGACTAGTGGGTGTGGTGGGTGGAGGATCTCACCTGGAAGGAGGTGCAGCTGTGGGTATACACTGACCCCAGGGCTGAGCTGGTGACCCTGGAGTGGTGGTGCCTGGAGCTGCTGGAGCAGCAGCTGGCCACTCACAGCTGCCTAATCAAGGCTGTGCCCATGACTCCTTGTGCCTGACCCCTCTGCCTCTGGGTCCTGCCCACCTCCCTGAAGCAGGCCCCTGGCAGCACCCTGAAGCTCGTGCCGCAGCACATACTGATCGCAGGCGTCTCTGGGCTCTGCCATGGTCCCCAGAGCCCTGGTGGAACTGCTTTTGGCTGGAATGCTTGGCAGCCCCACCCTCAGCTCCCCTGTCCACCCCTCTGCATCCCTCTGCCCTGGGCAGCCCCACCCCTCAGCCCCTCACAGCAGGACTGGGGGGTAGATTCCATGATGTGACTCTTATTTGCCATTTGTGAGTTAGGTTTTTACTATGGGTGGGTGGCGTGGGTGCTGGGTGGGCACTGATGGTGGAGGGGGGTGGTGCTTGTGTCTGTTGAGTGGGGAGTGGGGAGGGATGGGGCAGTTTTGTTCCATAAATAAACTTTTTTACTTTTTCACTCATGTGCGTGTCCTGGAGTGGTGCAAGGGGGTGGGCAGGGGGCAGGGGGGGTGTGGGCACTGGGGTAGGTAAGCTACAGGGGAGAGTGCCCCAGCAGGTGGTCTGCCAGGGCCTCCTGCACCCAGTGCCTGGGCCCCCACTGGCAGGTGTGCATGTTTCCGGGGGCCTCAGCAGGCAGGAGCCACCATCGGTGTTGACGCTGCCAGGCCTGTTCCTGGTGCCAGCCACCTCTGCCTAGTTTCATTTTCCCGGGCCCCCTGGAACACCTGCCCCTGGGTCTTGCACGTGTTGTGCAGGATGCATGCTGCAACAATGACCTGGGGGAGGTTCCTCTTAGACAACCTCAAGATGGGCTGGGAGGGAGCACCGGTGCCCTTTCAGCTAGCCGAAGGCGTGCTCGACCAGGGCATGGATACTGGCAAGGCACCTGTTAAAGTGCACCTGGTGGGGGTCCAGCTGCCTAGTGTATGGCTGTATGAGCCAGGGCAGAAGTGGGTAAGTGGAAGAGAGCTGGCACATGCAGGGTGTGCCTCTACCATGCTGCTCCTCTGACACCAGAAGTGTCTTCTCAGAGATCACAGTGCAGAGGGTGAGCCAAGTTCTGGCAGCTGCCTCTGGCCTTAGCAGGGCTGCCAACACCTGGCAGCCATGTGGCTGGAGGCTAGAGCTCCCCCTGGTGGCCACAGGGGCACATGGCAGGCTGCTTTGACCTAGGACTACATATAGCCCCGGGTCACCTGCATGTGTAGGTACAAACCTATTCCCGCTTACTCTGCAGTAACCAACTGCAGTAAATTTAAGCTGGCATAAATGCATTTGTTGGTGTAGTGAGCTCAGTGAGTGCCAGGGGGCGGGGAGAGTGAGGGTTTGTCAACTACAGTATGCAGGGGGAAAGGAGTGGGGGGTTGGCATGGGTGAAGGAAAGGGAAGTCTTACCACCTGGGACTAGGGATCAGCATCATCAGCTCCAGCAGCAGCCTCATGGCCAGCCTTCCTAGGAGCAGATCCTGGTTCCCCATTGGCTCCCCTTGTTTCAGAGATGTATATATGTATTGGGAGCAGGGCTGTCTGCTCTAGCAGAGTTTACTTGCCTGGGGGGGAAGCACTATTCTGTTTCCCCCTTTTACTCCCTGGTTCCCAGATACACTGCTTGGTGTGGCACTGTCCTGCCCAGCTCCTGTGGCTGGGCAGGAGCAGTGCAGCGCTGCCTCTGCCATGACAAAGACTCCCAAGTAGCAACTGTGGTGTTGTTTCATAGTCAGCGCCCAAGGTGGGTAACCCATTCACCCTGATTTAGTTATGCAATTGTTTGTTACCATCTTAATGATTGTTCTGTGGTCCATGTAAAATGAGCTGGCAGTCTAAGTCCAGTACTGAGCAAAAAGGTATTTGAGTCACAGTTGATATCTTTGTTGATTTTTTTAAGAAAGGGAATTAACTGGGCATAGAGAATGATCTTTATTTTATAGGCAGCACCTCCTTGGTACAGTAAATCATATCAGTAGGGCAACATAGAAGAGCTAGTATTGTCACCACTCGTATCAGATACGGAGCTTGAGAGCTTCACTTTTCCTAATTGTTAATGTACCATATTTTTACATATGCTATGTTCACTGCTTATTGCTTCAAAAATAACTTTTACAATAATTTTTAAATCAGTGTCCCTGATCATTGTTTATGTTCATCTGACCTTATTGGCCAGCTATGGAATCTAACTTGTGAGTGACGTATTTCCCTATATATGTATACTGTGTTGAATTAAAGATTAAAAAAACCCAGTTGATCTGCCATGATGACTGGTCCAACAGTATACGACTCACAAATAGAATATTCTGAGAATCTGTTTTTCCAAACTGTGGAAATAAGTTACCTAGTTTTCAAATTATAGACAAATATATAGATTTTAATTTCCTTATTAAAAAGAGAAAAAGTGAGATATTACTTAATACTATGTATTATAAACTCATTGTAGAGCCAGTTAGAGGTCTGGTGATACTTTTGTTGAAATATGTTTGTAGAATCAAAACCCTGGATTGGGATCAATGGCTCCTAAACTTTGGAAACATTTTGATCTGGACTTTACAGGTCTAAGCCAAATTCATCTTTTATTTTACGTTCTATTTTTCATACGGGCTTAAACTCTTGATTTGGTAAGTCCTTTATTTGTTGTCTGGTAGCACAGTAAAACAGGGACTGCTGTGTGGGTATATTTAAATGAGCACGAGCAACATTTGCAAACTTTAACACTCAGTTTTAGACACCTAGGCTGTGTCCACATGAGTGCAGACATTTGTTCTTGTCCTCAGGGACAAGAAGCAGCGAAACACCTTGTGTCACTGCTACTCATCCCCAGGGAATGCCTGTGCCATGCACCCTCTGATGCAGGGCAGGATCCCCGGGTGGGGTAGGGGAGGCTGTGGCCAGCAACTGTGCTGGCTCCAGCAGCTTTATCTGGGGTTCTGGGGGCCTCATGGAGCTGCAGCCATGGTGCTCCTGCAGCTGGGAGCCTGGCCAGCAGCCAGCATGGCTTCAGCAGCCCAGGCTCCAATTTTGGGTGGCAAGCCCTGCTACCACGTGCGCTGCCCCACTTTTCTAAGGCGTGGGATCTCCCAGGGTCAGCCCCCCC